TTATCCGTGTATTTCTTCATGTAGTTCAGGGTGCCAACATTATTTTGTTTTTCATTATGTTGATTTATGTTGCGTTTGAAGTTTTTCGGTTGTCGCCCTGAACTACATGAATAAATTCACAGAAAAATACACAGATGTCATACGGGCTTAACGCAAACAGACCAAATTTCGAAACCATTGAGATGGGCGTTGAGGGGGAGGATGCCGTTCAGTCAGTCTCAAAGACAAAGTATCTAGGGATAATCATTGATCAACACTTAAAGTGGACAGAACACATATATTATCTTACAAAGAAAATTCGTTGTCTAATCCCAAAATTTTATGTACTGAGAGAATTTCTGTGTTCCAAACTAACTACAATGGTTTACAGGTCACTTGTTGAATCTTTGATTCGCTATGGTCTGGTGATATGGGGTGGCACATACAGGAGCAACTTGCAACCTTTAAAAATTATTCAAAACTACATTTTAAAAGTAACATTCAAAAGGAAAAAATTATATCCAACCAGATTATTGTATAGCGTGGATGTTTGCAATATAGAATGCTTATTTATTCATTCTGTTTGTACATACATTCACAAAAATAAAACACTGAAAAGAACTATAGACCACTATCATCAGACTAGAGCCAATATGGACAATCATCTAACCATCCCAATTAACAGGAAGACTGTGAATCTAAAATTTGTAGATTATCTTGGCTTAAAATTTTATAATCAACTACCTAATAATATAAAGGCTATTAATAGAATTAAGTCATTTAATAGTGAGAGCAAAACTTTTATTGTAAATAATTCTAAAATATTTCTAAGAATAATGATATGAGACACACATAGAACAACACTTGGTTTACTGAGCGCATTATCTATATTTACTTGTATTTATATTTGTATTTGAATTTATATTTGTAAAAGAGGAGTCTATTTTTACAAGGATTAAACTATTTTAAGCAAGTTGCAATTTAAGGGAAACATACAGATGTGCAAACATCTAGGTGACCCATTAACTTTTCATAAATACCTATTAAGTATTGTTATTGAATGTAATTAGTGAATGAATCCTGTGAAAATTGTATATGCAAATAAAATAAATAAATAAATAAAATTAAAAAAAATATTGATCTGTGTCAAAGGTTGAGAAGAGGATTCACTCAATATTTATAAAATCCAATTTATACCTAGTTATTTGCGCCAACGTTACCTTTTTCTCAAATTTTTCTTTTTTCTTAGGGTTTTTTTCCTTCTAACTAAATGATTATTAAGATGACAGGTTAGTTTCAGTTAGTTTGGATTTACTCTGTTTCGTTTAAAATGCCAACATACTATTACTTATTACAAGCACGTGCCCAGCTGTTTGGTTTGGTTTGGATTAATTAGTTTTCAACAAAAAAAAGTACATGATCCTCCAGATTTTTGGCTTTTAAACTATACTATACACCACTCCTCACTTTCAGAAAAACGCCAATTTTGTGTGTCCGTGAAGTGTACCGGCACCAAATTCACTTCAAAAGCAACAAGGGCCAGAACACAAATGTGCACAAATGCTCTCCTTATGAACGTCACCGGCTTGTCACCGCAATATTTGACCCGAACGGCCATTATAAAATCACATGATTGAGATTGCCTAATAGGAATATAGGGTAAATAATATATCTATACATTTAATTATGAGTTTGAAATCACGCCAAAAAATATATCAAAGCCTTGGTTTTGAAAATTTGGAAAATGTGTGGTGATCATAAGCAAGGATACCTTTAACATATATATATATAATTGCTATAACTGAAACAAATTTAGATTCTGATATAAATGATTCGGAGCTATTTTCTGGTAATTACATAGTGTATCGTACTAATCGTGGTTCTGGCAACAGTTCTAAAAAGTCCGGAGGTGGAGTACTCATAGCAGTGAAAAGTGAGTTCAAATCTCAAATAGTTGCAATAAATAACCCTACCGTGGAAGAGGTTTGGGTTGCTGTGCTAGTGGGTAAGTCACATTATTGCATTGGTACAGTATACATTCCTGCTAGTATGGATTCGTCTGTCTATACTGCTCATATTGAATCTGTTGAGATGGCTCGCAACCAGTTTAATGAAATTATGGTGATAGGAGACTATAACCTTCCAAGATTAGATTGGCGTGTATCCGAGGAGTATATTGGCTTACTTCCTGGCAATGTTACTGGTGTTACAGAGATACTAGTGTGTGATAATATGGCATATTATGGTCTTGCCCAGTATAATGGTGTAAAAAATGACAATGGCAAAACTTTAGATCTTTGTTTTACTGATTTAGAAGTGCTGTCACTTAGTAGAACTGTAGGATTAGTTAAGCCAGATGTCCATCATCCTCCACTGGAAATATGTATTTCTATGGATTTCAGTGAGGGTTTAAAGCCTGATTGTGGTTGGAATTATGATTTTAAAAATGCAGATCACTACAGATTAAACCAGTATTTTTTGTCTATTGACTGGTATTCACTCTTAGTGGGGAATATGGACAATTTGGTTGAGAAATTCTATTATATTTTGTTTGAAGCTTTTGAAAAATACGTACCTGTAAAACACACAACTGTTAGTACTTTTCCTGCCTGGTTCTCAAAAGAACTAAAAAACCTTATATTTAACAAAAAACAAGCTCATAAAAGATTTAAACACACCGGCAGGCAAGAGGATTACACAGTGTTTTCTAGGCTAAGGCAACAATGCAAAACTTTAACTGAAATGGATTATAACAAATTTATTGAAAATTCAGAAAACTCAATTAATAACAACCCTAAACACTTGTGGAATTTTATTAAAACAAAAAAGGGAAGGAGTGATTGTCCCAAGATTATGAAATTTGGTGACAGAGTTGCGGATAATGGAAATGATATTTCTAATTTGTTTGCGGATTTTTTTTCTTCTGTTTATACTTCTGATTCACAAAATTTATCTGACTCTGACTGCATTCCGGAGTTTGACCAGGATTATTCAGATATGTATCTGAGTGCCCCTGAAATAGAGAAAGTACTAAAAGAGCTTGACAGTTCAAAGCCCATGGGTCCAGATGGTGTCCCTCCATCTGTTTTGAAATGTTGTGCTGAATCTCTTTATATGCCACTGTATATAATATTTAATAGATCACTAAATATTGGTGAGTTTCCAGCCGTATGGAAAAAATCTTTTGTAGTTCCAATTTTTAAATCTGGGGACAAAGGAAATGTGGGCAATTACCGTCCAGTTAGTATTCTTTCAGCTGTTCCTAAATTATTTGAGCATTGTGTTGAGATAAGACTAAAAAGGTTTTTTGAGAAGATAACAGTATCAGGGCAGCATGGTTTTACCTCTGGTCGTTCTGTTGATACCAACCTGTTTTTATATACCAACTTTATTTCTACTGCTATGGTGGAAGGTGCTGAGGTTCATGCCATTTATATGGACTTCAGTAAAGCTTTTGATAGAGTGAGCCATGCTGTTTTGATATCAAAATTGAGAAAGTATGGTATTGCTGGGTCATTATTGGAATGGATGGAATCTTATTTATCGAATCGGTACCAACAAGTAAGGATAGAAGGTTATCTGTCTAATATATTTTTTGTCACATCAGGGGTTCCACAAGGGTCACATTTAGGTCCCCCTTTGTTTAATATCTTTATAAATGACATTTGTTCTTTCTTGGAAGTTGCATATTTATTATTTGCTGATGACCTAAAAATATATGCCAGGATTCTGTCACAACAAGATCAAGTTAAAATCCAGAATGATCTTAACAGGATAAACAGATGGTGTACTCTTAATAGCATGACTCTAAACACAGAAAAGTGTCAAGTTTTGCAGTTTAGTAGGCTTAAAAATAACTTCCCTATGACTTACATGTTAGGTGGTAGTCTGTTAAAGGAGGTCTCTGTTGTGAAGGACCTGGGTGTGTATCTAGACACAAAATTAACATTTTCTGAGCACTATGAAAAAGTCATAGCCCGTGCGGGTAGAATGTTGGGATTTGTTAAAAGATCTTGTCAGGATTTTACAAATGTAAAGACACTTAAAATTCTTTTTGTTAGCTTTGTGAGATCTATCCTCGAGTTTTCTAACATAATTTGGTCACCATTTTTTAATATATACGTAGATCGCCTTGAGAGCATTCAGCGTAAGTTTATTAAATTTGTACGTTACAAACTGAGTAGAAAGGGTATTTTTTTATCAGTGGAAGATACATATAAGTATTTGCAATTGAGTTTTCTTAGGGACAGAAGGGAGTATTATGATGTATGTTTTGCATTTAATGTTATCAATAATTATATTTGTAGCCCAGAATGTCTTTCAGTAATAAAATTTCATGTTCCTGGTTATATAACTCGTAATGCTCCACTATTACAAGTCCCACCGAGTCGTACTCTGTATTTTATGTATAATCCAGTAAACCGTATTAGCAGAAATGTAAATAAATTTTGCCATCAACTTGACTTCTTTACTGTTTCAAAAGATAGATTTAAGACTTCTGCCAAGAAGGCAATTTTAGGTTAAGAAATATTTGTATATAATCTTGTAAATGTGAATGCGTAAATAGATAAATAAATAAATAAATAAACATTTTAACAACTGGGTACTTTACATTACCTATCAAATGGCTACCTATTTTCTGGCTAATACAGTAGTAACCTCGGTATTAACATTGTGTAGCATAATCTTCTCTAGATAAAATGGCTGATAAATTCAACATTTAGGTATACATTTTGAAAATTCTAAAATACTGCAATTTTCTGATTGATGTTTTGATGCCCTTTCTTTATGAAATTATCCGAGAAATTAACATTCCAGGAGCAGGGAACATACAAATGATAATAGGCAGTCAAAAAAAAATATGAATAATGGTATTGAATTAAAATTTAAATAAAATGCAAATGAATTATGTTTATGACTGGATTGTTAACTGAAGTGAGACTTGCACGCGATATTTGGTAGACTTAACTCGGAAAAGAACTCGTATTTAGTTGAATATTATAGAGACCGGCTTGGCTTACCATTTATAGCATCCCCCTTCAGTTGCTTCTAAAACAAATTCAGTTTGGAAGTCATTAAAAATCGGCAACAACACTCGCGGGACATTTAATTTTGACGAAACGACTAAGTTTATGGATAATATAAGTACTGCAAATATATCAAAGTTCATTTTGATATTATAAAATGTATAAATCTAAAAAAAATGTCTCATACAAGTCACATTAATTTTTCAAAAACTCATATAAGATAGGTTAGGACAAAAAACTTAAAAATAACCAACCGTAGACTTTCCGTGCGTTCGTTATTTTGGTCTGAGTTCTCCGAGCTTGACTTTACCGTTCGTTTATTTGAAAAGTGTACTCGGTGCAGCCTCATTCGCGTTCGTTTATTAAAATTTCTGACACTTTTATACAGCGTTCAACTGCTCTGTTCGCTCGCTGGTCACGTGATTACGGCTCCGCTCAGCACGCTCTGCTCTTTGAGCAAAATACCGAACGCAAGGTTTCAGTCCCCACTCCGTACTCCGTTGTCATTTGTCAGTTTAGTTGTATTCTTTTCAAGAGCTTGAAACACTAGAGCTACTCGCTCCGGTATTAGTCGACCCCGATTTGAAAAGAACAGATGCGCTGGCTTTCGTGCACTAATGGTTTAATTCGGGCTTGGGCGCTTCAGGTGCAACAAAGACTTTCCGAAAGGAATAAGCGCGTAAAGCCCCGGAGCTGTTCCGGAGCTCCTCCTAGATGTGAAAGGAATACAACTATGGTTTATTTTTTTCCCAGATAGATTTTGGTATTTTCAACTTTGAAACATAAACAACCGCTTATTGTAAAACTGATATCAACCTGCAGAAACACCTCATTTTGCGACAAATCAGGGTCAAGCGTTATTGTTTAAGCTACATCCTCAATCAATCTGGTAGCGAAGTGGCACTTTGGCACGCGTGCTGGAAAATTTATACCCATCCTCAATGCTGTCAATTTTCAGTCTGCTGTGCGTGTAGTACGGGCACACACCGTGCATTCGGTATTTTGATCTGAGTTCTCTGAGCATGAATTTACCGTTCGTTTATTCAAAAAGTGTACTCGGTGCAGGATCATTCACGTTAGTTTGATAAAATTTTGAGCCCTCTGATACAGCGTTTAACTGCTCTGTGCGTTCGCTGGTCACGTGATTACGGCTCCGCTCTGCTCTTTGAGCAAAATACCGAACGCAAGGATAACCTAAATTATTTTTTACCGTACTACGCATGACATAAGTCGTCACGCATCGAAAAATCTGGCAGCTTGCGCTTGCAACCAGGGACCCGGACCGAAATGAAATATCGGTTCCGTTACGGTTCCGGTCCACAGCGTCATGACGAATATCGGTTCCGTTACGGTTTCGGTTCTAAGAGAAATATTTCGATTCGGTTTGGACCAATAATTTCGGTTTTAACGGTTCATACCGGTATAGTTTTTCACAAATATCTTATGGCCATTTGCACTGACCATTTCAAGAAGCATCCCTTAAATCGGTCATTACAGAAAAATTTATGTTTCTATAATTTGTGGTTTGCGTTTTCGATCAGTGATGACGTAACAGCGTGTCGTTTCTTGCCTTGACGTAGTGCTTGCACCAGTTTCACCACGGATTAGGAAGTGTTTTCTCGCGTCTCAAAGTTTTGAAACATTTTCCAAACTGGTTTAAATCAGTTTCACAATGACGTCATCATTTCTCGGCAAGAGGAAATGGTTTTAAAACGTGGATTGGATTGTATTTCGAAACGGTTTAGAACCATAGTACATTATTTATTTTTCTAAAACAACCCTTGTTTAGATCTCATTTGCTCATTTGCATCTTCCTCTTGTCCATTGACTATTTGTTAATCAAGTTTAAATTATATTTTTCATCATGTATGTATATTTTCAACTACGAACGCAAACCGCTAACGAGACCGTTGATGACGTCGGCAACGCGGCAACGGTTCAACAACATATGAACTTGATTCCAAAAATTGAAGCCGATGAGCAATCCTGTAGTAGTATGTAAAATCCTTGGTGGGTAGCCTAGCCGAGTTCAGAAATGCGCGCTGTCCAATGTCCAACGCTCTGTTTTTTAAAGTGTTAATTTTATTATGATACAACCAAACAGCAAACAGCTTCATTTATAAAATCTTGGAACCGAAAAATACTGGTAAGAACCGATTAATTTATATCGGTTCCGGTTCTGCCTACCCTACAACATTTCTATGAAATATGGGTTTCGTTCCGGTTCCGGTCCGCAAAAAAAAAACGGTTTCGTTCCGGTTTTCGATCCAATATCGTTCCGGTCCGGGTCCCTGCTTGCAACCTTCACTTCGGAGTCGACGTGCATGCCAGCACGGAATTGACTTGAGGATGCCAACGTTAAACAACATTTTCCTAGCTTGCGTGCCGAAGTGCCACTTCGCTACTAAATTGATTGAGGATGAGCCTTTATGTTTCAAAGTTTTCAATGTCAAAATCTATCTTGGGAAAAAATGAAGTGTATGCATGCATTTAAATGGCGGAACAAGAGCTTGGTGGTAGCCCCGAAACAATTTATATGCGACGTTGCAATTTTTGGCATTTTTATGTTTGAACTGGAATCAGCGCCACGCCACGCCACCACAGTTGTTTATTATTATTATCCCGGCCTTTTGAGTTTTGAGTGGACACAGAATACCTATAATAATCTTTCATAATTTGATTATACTGCTTATGATTGAATAAATTAAAAATTGAATAAAATTGAAACTACAAATTTTGTATTTGGAAGCACTGCCTTTTGGTTGGAGTGAAACTGGAAACTCGTTTGTTCTTCTACAGGGCGGAAATTTTTTTCATATTAGGCAATTCAAAGCACGTGACATTCAAGATGGCGTGGCGGCCACACATGGGCCAAAAAACACAAAAAAATATCTAGTTTCTGCCCGAATTAATAGTTTAGGTGCCTAGTCAACAAATATTTTATTAAATAATGGAAATCAAAGTTGTAAGCAAAACTGTATGCAAAATAATTTAAAATACGCATAAAAACATATTCAAAACAAACTTGCTTGGTCGCCACGCCACAATGAATTTTCCTTTTTGACAGATGGATTGGATTGCCTAATTATATCCGGAAAAAAATAGTTATTTTTCTAACAAGTGCGAGAATAGTATATTGTATATTTAGGTGGAAAAGTGACACATTCTCGGCCGACGGTGCAAGTTGCCGGCCTCGGCTACGCCTCGCCCGTCAACTTGCACCGTCGGCCGAGAAAGTGCTTTTCCACCGAAATACACATACTATTTTTTCTGCGATCGGTTAAATACCTGTTAAATATTTGTCTTCTAGTTCCAATTATTCAGCAATACGAGAATCACTTTCCCTTTCCCGGCCTAGGCCGGAAAAGTGTTTCCCGTATTGTTAAGTTAATATTCATTGATTTTTTAGCAACTATTGAAACATAATAGAAATACCAGAATATTGAGTTTTGCGACCTGACAACCGGTCAAAAATGCTGACATTTCTTGTCAATCGCAGAAAAATACCATTTCTCGCAAGTGTTAAGTCTAGTATTCATAACAGCGAAATTCGCTCTTTTTTGACATTCCTTCGACAATTTTGCGTTCTATGCGTGTGTGGCGGATTGGGGACGAAGGGTCCAACGGCAACTAATAAAATTACACCACACTTTTTGATCAGTCTTTATTCATTTGTTCAACCAGCTTGAAAACATCGGACAGAGTTAATTTGATTGTAGTAATATAATATTAATAATAGTATATATTGTTGTATTAGGAGTAGAAGCTTTACTTTTTTGTGCTGAAGCGGTAGGTTTGCGAGCCGAACGTAGGATTTGGATACTGATAAATAATGATTGTGTTAGATGGGCTTCCAACGCGTTGGAATGAGACGGAAAATTATTTTGAAGCCTTGGATGGATGATCTTATAAACCAATTGTCGTAGATCTTCCTGAAGAGGTGGAAGATGCCCTAACTTAACTTATGATAGGGTGGTAGTATTATATGCAATTTTATGGCTTGATTCCAGTCTCTAATGACTATGTAATTACGGTAATTACTGTTTATTTCAAATAAAATGCCCAGGATGCTTTGTTTGTTTGTGTATACTGTATACCTAAAATTTATTCATCGAAAAAAACGCAGATATGGGGTCTCGCTAACCCAAAATTGGCTATTATCAGGGCCAAATACTGGAACTGATCTTCACAGTGGGAACTGATCCACTGCAAAATAAACAGGTCCGGTCCAAGTTCGAGTTCAAGTCCGGACCACTTTTGCGTTGTCTACGTTGTACGGACTCGGAGTCAAACTCGAACTAATCGGATCACGCCTCGCCGGCCAGTGGAACAGGAAAAAGTGTGGACTCGGAGTAGGGACACAGATTCAGAGACGGAGTACACTACACCGACAGACTCGTTTCGATCAACGGCTCCGGATTGTCGGGATCACGCCGCACCGGTGCGGCCGCTGGAACGGATAGAGTACGAGAGTGAACCGCCGATAGGATATAAAGCTGCTTTCCAGTATGTAGCTGTATTCCTTTCAAGAGTTTGAAACACTAGAGCTACTCGCTCCGGTGTGTCAACCCGATTTGAAAGGAACAGATTCGCCGACTTTCGTGCATTTATGGTTTACTTTGGGCTTGAGTACTCAGGTGCAACAAACACTTTTCGGAAGGAATAAGCGCGTAACGCTCCGGAGCTGTTCCGGAGCTCCTCATACTATTCACCATTTTCACGTATTTTCATTATTAGCTAATCACGGATAATTATGTAATCACGGTAAAAATGTCGGTTCGATGCACCAAAGGATTTTGCACTCAAATTAGTTAATTGTGATTTTGTAATGAGGGCCACCTGAAAGGAACTCACCGATAACGTCGCAAATTTCCTATAGATTTTAATAAAAGGCAATAAAAGCCCATTTTGGGTTGGCGGTATGTGGGGTTGGCGAGACCCATTCTTCGTTTTTGTCGATGAATTTTAATTTTATAAACAAACAAACAAAACATCCAGGGCATGTAGGGCATTTTATTTGAAATAAACAGTAATTACATTACAACCAAATCAAACAAAACACCTAACCTCATTTTATTAACTAGCCGCGGTTATCTTGTTCTAAATTCCAGGCCATCGAGCAATTTAAAGTTAATTGCCAATAGGCGAAAAAAACGCTTGGTGCATATGAAAAATATTTTGTGATCACGGCTAAAGTCTTAATCAGAGAATTTGTGCAATGGTGCATACGGGCATTAGAATTTTTTTAAATTGGCGCTCGCTGCACACTACACACCATCAAAAATTTCGGAGCGAATCGAGCGAGCTCAATACACTCTCTCGACGTATTTACGAACGCGAAAAGTTTTTCTCGACACGCTCGAAAGAGAATAAACGAACGTCATTCACAATTTTGAGCATATGGTGCGCACAGAGCGCAGCTGTTGTATGGTTCGAGATGCACAAACCCGTTCGTTTTTTATTTCAAGATTTTCAAGCTCGGTTTGCTCGATGATCAGCTGACCTCTGTCCAAGGTAGCTCAAGCTCCACACGCTCCCCACTTCGAGGGAATAAAGAACGCGCGTTGTAATAATCTAGAATGACATTTGACATATATCCGGCCGTCAACTTCGGAGTAGGAATGTGTACGAATTCAAATGAAAGTAGGGCTGGGCCATATCGATAATGACTTGATGTACTACACGTGAAACAAACGTCAAATTGTCGAAGCAATGTCGAAAAAGAGCGAATTTCGCTGTTATGAGTACTAGGCTTAAGGAACTCAATTTTTCTCAAGGTTGTGCGGAAAGATTACTCTTTGTGCATGCCAACAGTTTTTTTTTCCGCACATTCTTAGGAAAAAAACGGATCATCTTAGTTTCAGGTGTCCAGAAAATGGCAGAGATTATCCTGTTTTCAATCCCTAGTAGGACTGCTTATTGAGCTGAAAGTGTTTGTCAACTGCTATGTCAGCTGCATACTTCAACTCTTGGAGTAAAATGCATTATTTGAGTTTAAAGCACACAAAAAAATGAATTCCTAAACTTTAAAATCTTGTTAAAATCACCTTTCCTACATTTAAAATCGACAAAAAAATCAAATAACGAGCACAGCCTAAATCGCAAGCTTTCTATCAAGGTCTGCGGGCGACGTCATCACTATTAGCAGCTGTGGCGACGTCACCCGCAGACCCTGCCTGTTCAAGAATTGGTGAACGTACGCCTTATTAGAACGAGCAATCCTGTATACGATTGTTGTATAAAAATGTCGAAAATCCCAACAAAATCCTAATCTTTGATTGCACAAACAAACTAGCATCTGCAAAAAGTTTTCTGTAACTTGAAAACATTACCTACATATTTTAAAAACTGCTGTTTTCGTCACTCGTTAAACAATAAACATTGTCCGCACCTGTTAGGAAAATCTAACCCAAACAAAATAATTTACTTTGACGTCAATTTGGCAACGCAGCACTCCTTGCCTTAACCTCTTAGGGCGGGTATTATAAAACTACTTTGAGAGTTAACTTGAAGTTAACTTTTTGAATTACATGTAATTCCAGAAGTTAACTTTGAGTTAACTCTCAAAGTAGTTTTATAATACCCACCCTTAGAGAATTGTTTTGGCGCTACCACCAAGCTCTTGTGTTTGAGTCGAGCTTCAGCACTCAGGTGCAACAAACACTTTTCGAGAGGAATATACGCGTAACGCCCCGCAGCTGTTCCGGAGCTTCTCCTAGCTATGAAAGGAAAGGAAACGAAAGGAATACAACTAAAGCCTGTTTTCAAAATGACACTATGTTGGCAATACAATGTAAAATTGTCAATGGGTACATTCAGGCGGTCCCAGCGGCTTAGCTCAGCCTCTCAGCAGGAACTTTATTCTCGAAACCAAGGAATAGGGTTCTCATAAGAACGATTACTCTGTCATTGTCAGTGTTATGCCCGACGACAAAGACAGAACCTTCGTTCCAATGAGAACGCTGTTCCTTGGTTTCTAGAATAAAGTTCCTGCTAAGAGGCTGAGCTAAGCCGCTGGGACCGCCTGAATGTACCCAATAAGTATTCTGTAAAATGACATTTTTACATGGAGAAATGTCAGTTTAGGGAATACTTATCGTTGAGGAGGCTCCCCTAAAATTGTTGGAGGAAACGACCATAAAGTCACTCCAACTACCCGAGTAAAATTTACCTAAAATCTGTTTCTTTTTTTTAAAGATAAAAGTCAAAATGACATTATGTTGGCAACACAATGTAAAATTGTCAATGCTTTCAAATTTTTATGTAGAAAAGGCTTGTGTTGCCAACATAGTTACTGAATTTTTGACTTGGGGAATTATCTTTAAAAAAAAAAAACAGACTTTAGGTAGAATATAACCCGGGCTGTCGAATCGTGAATGCGCCCCAGAGGTGCTTTCCAGTGACCCATTTGAGTTACTCCTGAGCAGCTCAGGAGTGCTCCACAATTACTTTGCGCGTTCCAGTGCTTAGAGTGTCGTACACTTGAACTACTCATTTCTGTTATCCCCTGCCCACTCGTGCACCAACCCTTATTTCGGTGCTCCATGCTTTTGAAGTCCGAAATGGTGGGGGTTAAGACAAGAGCGTTCCAGGTTCCAGTGCTGCTTAGGACCATCACACACAGTTTTGCACAATGCATAAGCATAACCCCCAACCAATCACAGCTTGTATTATAGGTCAACTAAAAATCAGGTGAACTTTTATACAGCTTGTGATTGGTTGGGGCTTATGCTTATGTGTTATGCAAAACCGTGTGTGACAGCCTTTATGTCTAACAGTTCAAGAGCGTCACACTCCAGGAGCATGATACTCTAACAATTTAGGCACTGGAAAGCAGCACCGGGCTGCGTTCAGGAATGGCTACAGCCAAGCCAAAATTTGCATTTTGCGTTCGAGTTCGGCTCCAAACTACGTGGTTCGGCATTACCGGTGGAGGGGGAAAACTAGGTTTTGGCATTAGCATTGCCGTCTTTGAACGCACCCCAGGTGAAGGATAGCTGTTATCTGTCATTTCATTTGCCGCCATTTACAACAGCTGATCAAATCAAATGTTTGATTGAACTCAACGTGACTCAACACAAACTAAACAAACTTTTTTTCTTATTTTGTATAATTTTTGGTTGGATTTGTTTTGTCCATTCATAGAGCTTGTTTTGGCACAAATGTTCCAAATTTACAATTATTCTATTATTCTCTAAAAGTAACGAATCCTTCCCTCGGAATGTCCGGCGATAGCCTATTATCCATCCGCAATTACTTGAAAAATAAAATTTTCAATAATCAAGTATATTTGGGCAATGAAAAACAAAGAAATAGGGTGCTCGAATTATTACAGAGGACTGCTGAACAGGGAGAATCGAATTCTATGTTGCTTATCGGACCCAAAGGCTCTGGAAAAACTAAGGTAAGTGAGTCAGTTCACCGTTCACCGCTGCATGATTGAAATAAAGAATATTTTATGCTTCTTCGGAAACAATAATAATCATTAGCAATGGCTATGAGAATTTACTAATTTGAGAGCGAGCTTAAGAGATAATTGAAATTGAAACAATGTTTTTTTTTTTTTTTTGAAAACATCTTTATTCATCAATAATAATAGTACATAAACGTCTTATTCTCTAATCAGTGCCTATAGCTCTGGCCTCGAGAAAATATATATATATAGATATACAAAATGTGCTATGCTGGTAGTACATTACCCATAAGAAGACATAAAATACCTATTTAACATTTAGATGATCCTTTAATTTTTTTACGAAAATATCAAAACTTTGGATTACCCTAATATCGTCAGGCAAACTATTAAACCTTCTACTTGCACATTGAACAGGACTGTTAAGTCCTACATTTGTTCTACTCTGCAAAAGATATAACGCGTGATTCGATCTTGTATCATAATCATGAATGTTATTCTGAAATATTACTGTTGTATTGCATTTTTGTTTGTTATTAAGAATTTTGTGTATTAATTTGCATTGTTTTAGTTCCAATATTTTACTTAATTTTGGCAATTCTAAATTTTGATACAGGCTCTCAGTGTCAGTGAATTTATCATAGTTGAAAAGAATCTTCAGAATTTTATTTTGAACAATTTGCATTTCCTTAAAAGTTGTAGTACAGCAAGTTCCCCATATAGGCAGTAAGTACCTCAGATGAGAAAGAAAGAAAGCGTTGTAGACCTGATATTTAGCTTTAAGTGTAAGATAATTTCTACATTTATATATAATGGGGATCATAGGGTTAATTTTATCTTTTATTTTAACACAATGTTCTTGCCAATTTAATGTTTCGTCAACTATAAGACCCACATGTTTGTTAGATGCGCTCAACTGAAATATTATTTATTTTTATGTCGAACTTATCCAACTGTTTATTTTTTTGCCTGAAGACCATAAATTTAGTTTTTTCAATATTAATTTTTAGTTTATTGGAATACAGCCACTTGACATACAAATCCAAATCCGCATTAACCCTTTGTGTCAGTTCGCATTTATCAAATCCTTTGTAAACTAAGACCGTGTCATCAGCAAATATATAATATTGGGACTCCAGGTTGGCAAGCTTCAAATTAAGAACATAAAGGGAATAAAGAAGAGGCCCAAGAACTGATCCCTGAGGTACTCCATACCCACTCGATAACATTGAGCTATAAATATTATTTAATTTGACATATTGGCGTCTATTTTGTAAATATGATTCTATCAATTTCAGAAAAGTTCCCTGGAAGCCCATTATACTCAACTTTTTTACAAGAATATCCATACTAACAACATCAAACGCCTTTCTCAGGTCGACAAATACTGCTAAAACAATTTCTCTCTCATCCAAAGCCCTTGATATGTAATTGACGAAATCAAACGTAGCGGCCAAAGTACCACTATTTTTAATAAAACCGTACTGAAATGTATCTTCAAGAGAATTTTCCTCCACAAAATTCATAATTCTTCTCTTAATGACCTTTTTGATAATTTTAGAAAATACACTTATGACTGAAATTCGTCTATAGTTGTTCATAGAATCCTTTCTGCCTGTTTTATATATTGCTGTTATTTTACTAATTTTCAACTCGGCAGGAAATATTCTTAACTTATAATTCTCCTCGTTTTTGAAAGCTTTGGCAGCTGTGAACAATTTCATACATTCCTTAGTGAGATCATGATTAAGGTAAATCTTATTGCTTTTGCTATATCCCAACCTTCCAGTATCAAGCTGATTTCTTTTTTTAGACTTGAAGAGCATTTCCTTTTCTTTCACATGTGCAAATTCCACCTTAATTGGACTTTTGCTATTTTTCCCCAAGCGAAAAGCTTTAAAATCTATATCCAGTGGAGCATCCAACTGTTCGCCTATTTTTCTGATTATCTCGGGAACATCTTCATTTTCACTATACGGAACTCCTTGAATAACAATATTTTTCTTCAATTCCTTTTGTTCCATTTTGTTCAGCTTTTTTTTTAATTTCCTTCAGCTTTCCTTGGATTGCTTCTTTAACTTGAGTTTGCTCTTGGTATTTAGTAAGCAAATCATTGTATTTCTGATCCATTTGCTCCAACTTTGACATTACATCAGCCAGAGTGTAGTCCTTTTGTTTGACAGCAGCCGCATTTTTGGTGTTTTTGTCTTGGCAGGAGCCACATATCCATGGATCAGAGGACTTACCAAGCATGATGTAGGTATTTCTAGACATGGATATACATGTTCTATGTTTCCATACTCTGCACGTTTCACACAAAAGACCGTCCTGTCCTCTCTCCACATTCTTAGTACAAATGTTACATTTATCAGAAGGCATTACGGCAACGTTGGTTTGCAGCACTACTTTAACACGTTGTTAATTTCAAAACTATTGTTTTTATTCAGGTAACAAACAATTTGCCCACACTACAATCGTAGAAGGGAAACCTTGCGAACACGATAGTCTATTTTTCAATATTTAAAACTTAAAGTTTCTATCAGAAAACCACCTTGAAATAAAGCAATCGCCACCAACAACACACACTTCGCTGTGTCCAAGATAAAAAATGTTTCATATTTCAAACTTGCAAAACAGTACTGAAAAGCATAATGGATTTTTTTTTACAAGTTACAAGTTTGGAGAGAACAGTATCCCTGATCCCTACCACTTTTATTTAACAAAATAAATATAATTTATGTAAGGTAAACGTACCAATTATTGACACTGATCCAATAATTGACACTGAGCCACATTTAATTCAAAAATAAGATCATCTTGGTGAACAGAGTATATTTACGTAAAAAATCTTAAAGAATAGAAGGTTTGGCAACCCTGTACCGATTGGGAGTTGAATCGCCAAACTCCATTTTCAGTTTTCATGCCGCCATTTGCAAAGTGTCTGTGACTGGAGAAAAACGTTAAGCAAATCGTTAAGGTAAGTAAATTAATTGATGCATTTAAACAATTGCTGAAATTATGTTTGATGTTTTATAAGTATTTGGGGGGCTCATCTAGACTATGAGGTATTGTTTCTATCATATTTCTGTGGGCATAAATCATCTAGTGCCAGGTTGCTGAGGTGTCAATGACTGGATCAAGTCTAAACCTAATATCACCAGTCATTGACACTAGTGTCAATGACTGGTACATCGATGCATATTCAGTGGATAATGCTAAGATACGCAAGTATGAGTGTGTAAGCTTCCCTATAAATATGGCTTCAAAAAAACAATCGGGTCCAGTTATTGACAGGGTGTCAGTTACTGGTACATAAGATGTCAATTACTGGAGCAACGAAATATGTGTTTCATTGGGTAGGTTGATATTACGCCTCTTTGGCGAATACCCAATAAAATACGTATAAACGTGGACCCGACAGAACAAACTAGATCTTGTTGAAGCATTGTCATTGTATATTTCAGATATGGCGCCAAAAAAAAATTACACGAAAGAGCAGATGAATGCAGCTCTTGAAGCTGTGGCAAGAGGAACACCTGTAGCCCAGGCTGCTAGACTACACTCTGTTCCTAGAGTGACGCTGATGTATAAATCACAAGGAAAGTTACCAGTGGATTGCCGAATGGGACCCAGCACCATTCTGACCACCAATGAAGAGAATCTTCTCGAAAAATGGATTCTTTCGATGGCTAAGGCACATCATCCAGTCAATAAGGAACAATTGTTGGATAGCGTCCAATTGATAATTCGAGACGATAAACGTCCAAACCCTTTTACCAATTTCCGTCCAGGCCGAAAGTGGTATGACTCGTTCATGAAAAGGCATCCAATTTTGAGTAAGAGGGTAGCCCAAAATTTAACACCTGCTCGTGAAAAAGTGTCTGAACAACAGCTTCGACAATGGTTCCAAGAAATAGAGCTTTATTTAAAGTCTAAATACCTGTTTGAGATAACCAACGATCCTACAAGAGTCTTCAATTCCGATGAGAGTGCATTTTTTCTACAGCCAAAGGCAGACAAAGTATTGGCAAGAAAAGGAGATAAGAGTGTGTATAATGCTGGAACAAATGACGAAAAAGAGAATCTCACAGTTCTGGTGACAGCAAATGCCGCTGGAGAATTTGCTCCGCCCATGGTAATTTTCAAGTATGAACGTATTCCAAGCAATATAGCAATCAGTATCAATAAAACTTGGGGATTAGGTCGGTCAGAAAGTGGCTGGATGTGTGGCGCTACCTTCTTTGAATACGTAACTAACGTGTTTGTTCCGTGGCTAGAAAGTCAAAAAATTAAACGACCGATTTTAATGTTCATAGATGGCCATGTGTCGCATATGACTTTACATTTATCACGATTCTGTTCAAGAAACGGAATTGAACTATTTGCCTTATATCCCAACTCGACTCATTTAATCCAACCCATGGATGTGGCGGTTTTCAAACCCCTTAAGCAATTTTGGAAATCATCTGTAAGAGACTGGCATCTCGACAACCATGGAATTAAGTTCAGGAAGGATAATTTTGGAACCGTATTTGAGAAGGCCTTATCAAAAATCACAAAAGAGACGATACAAAATGGCTTTAGGGGCTGTGGTATTTGTCCATTCAATGTTGAAAATGTGAAATTTTCAAAAATTTCTACCCAATCAGCAAACACTAAACAATTTCCCAAAGCAAAAGAAGGACTTTTGGTCTTGGAGAAAACCATTCCCTCCGAAAAACTAGAAAGATTTAGAGCTAATTTCAAAGCTGATTGGACTGGAAACATTGAAGATACTTCACTATTTAATGTATGGTCGGCAATGAAACTGGAATCGATCAGTAACATGAGAGTTGACAAAGAAGTCAAACCAGGCAATGAAAACAACCTTGGAAAAGAAGATACTATTGCAGAAGCTATCGAAGCGAATAATTCGAATGGAGAAGTTCTGCAACAAAAAGATAATGATATATCGGAGCCGGGATGTTCAGGTCTACATCTGGGACATCAGG